ATCTCAACTCAATTAATCAAATAGTCAATTTCATACGAAACGTACAGTATTCATATGCAATATATGTAATACGTCTAATAGCATATGGTGGATTTTTGTAATGTCCTTTATAAATCCCCTTATTTAGATTTAAGGCTTTAATAATATGACGAATTTTTGGAATCTGACCTCCAAATTATAGATAAAGAAATAAATTATTCTAATAGTGCGTTTTTTTTTTTTTTTAATTATTACGTTAGATGATCAGAGCGTTAATGACACACGAATTTGATTCTTGAAAATTATATTTTCAAAAGTTTCTGGTTCTATAGATTTCTCTTCACATTTATACTGTATTATTCATTTAAACAATTCAAGTATTTATTATTGCTGTAATACCTTGAAATGGAATGCGTATAATAATTAAATCTTATTGTTACAAATATTAGAAAGTTTGTTGCTACACTTAACACAAGTCTCGTGATCATACTACGTTCCCTACGTTCTTGGCTTGAGTGTAACTATGTCACACAACTACCTTATAAATTTACCATCAATTGATGTGTGTTCATACGAGATTTCCAACTATGAGCTTATCTGATGAATTATTTCAAGAATGCCTTAATGAAGATGAATTATTTCAAGAATGCCTTAATGAAGAACGTATTGAATTTTACGAGTATTCTAATTTCAAAGATGTTAAATTGATAAAAGAAGGTGGATATGGAATAGTATACAGTGCTACTCTCAAAAGTAAAGAAATTACCATCGCATTAAAGTCGTTTAAAAGTAATGTAGCTATTGAAGAAGTCGTTAAAGAGGTAAGCTGTTTATTTATAATTAATTTTGTAACCATGTAGCTATAATATTAATGATATATTATAAACTTAATTTGAATAGCTTAAATTACACCGTAGAGTACATATACATTCTAATATTATAAGCCTACATGGTGCTACTAGGAATGAAGGTTTTTTTCTTTCTTTCTTTTTTTTTTTAACATGAAAAGTGTCAAGTAATATATAATAAAATATTGTATATTTTTTATGTAACAGATAATATAAATCATGGCTCTACGGATTATATGCTTGTTCTTGAATATGCTGATAGCGGAACTTTAAGGTCGTATTTACAAAGTAAATTTGAAGATCTTTCGTGGGATGATAAAATCAATTTTGCATTACAAATTGCCGATGCAATTAAATCATTGCACGCTAAAAATATAGTGCATCGTGATCTGGTAATATTCAATATAATGTCTATAACAATTATAACAATTTTTATTTTTGTTAAGTTTACCAATAACTATTTATAATTTTTAATAGCATTCGAACAATATACTTGTTCATCAAAAATGTATTAAGCTAGCAGATTTTGGACTTTCAAAAAGACTTGATGAAATGACAAATTCAACTCGAAAATTGGTTGGAATTATTCCATATATGGACCCGATGAGTTTTGGGGAATCAAACACCGAAACATTTAGGTTTAACAAAAAATCCGATATATACAGTATTGGCGTTCTTATGTGGGAAATATCTAGTGGTCATCCACCTTTTAAAGAATATGTTGAAAAACATCAACTTTTAGGTTTAACTGTAGCCATTATGAATGGTACACGAGAATCCAATATTGAAGGAACACCATCAGAATATAACAAGATTTATACCGGTACTAAATTACTTATTATATTTATCTTTGAAAAAAAATAAATTTTAACAAAATTTAATCATAAATAGATTGTTGGCAACAAGATCCTGATAGCCGTCCAGACATTCAGCAAGTCTTTTTGAATCTAAGAGATTTAAATTGTAGGCGGACTATAAATAGGATTGCTCCAAATTTAAATGTACCAAATGTTCATGAATTAACTCAAATTGATCCAAGTAATTTGCTAAGCATGGTTATTCCTCTCTCGCCAATATTAAACCATGATGATGGTGAACTTGAGAGAAGTCTTTCAGAATTAAATAAATTATTACAAGTCGAATCAAATAATATAATGGCTTTAAAAAGTCGTGGATCGACTTATTTCATGATGAATAGATATGAAGAATCGCTTGCAGATCTAAGTAAATTACTAGAAATTGAACCTAACAATATATTTGCTTTAGGAATTCGTGGAGAAACATACCGTATGATGAACAGGTATGAAGAATCACTTTCCGATTTAAATAAATTATTAAAAATCGAACAGAATGCATTTGCATTAAGAAGTCGTGGAGTTACTTACCTAAAGATGAGCCAATATGAAGAATCGCTTGCAGATTTAAAGAAATCTTTAGAAATTGAACCTAATAATTCAGACGCATTAACAAATTGTGGAATAATACAGTATCAATTAAATAAATATGAAGAATCACTTGAAAATTTAAATAAATCAGTAGCAATTAAACCAAATGATGCATTTATATTAAGAAGTCGTGGTACAACTTATCTCATGATGAATAACTATGAAGAATCTCTTAAAGACTTAAGTGAGTCAATAAAAATTGAATTAGATGACGCAGTTACGTTAAGAAGTCGCGGAGTAACTTATCGCTTAATGAAAAGATACAAAGAATCACTTGCAGATTTAGATAAATCATTAGAGATCGAATCTAATAACGTGTTTGCATTAAATCAGCGTGGGATAACCTATCGTATGATGGGTAGATATAAAGAATCTCTCACTGATTTAGACACATTATTAGAAATCGAGAAAAACGATGCATTTGCATTAAGAAACCGTGGTGTAACTTATTTCATGATGGGCAAATATAAAGAATCGCTTACGGATTTAGACAAATCATTAGAAATCGAGCCACATAATGCATCTACATTAGAAGTTCGTGGTGAAACCTATCGTTTGATGAATAGATACAAAGAATCACTTGCAGATTTCAATAAAACGTTAGAAATTAATCCGAATAATGCATTTGCATTAAGAAGTCGTGGTGCAGCTCATCGCATGATAGGCATGTACAAAAAGTCACTTGAAGATTTAAATAAATCGTTAGAAATTGAACCAAATAATGCGTTTGCATTAAGAGATCGTGGAGCGACTTATCGCGTGATAGACATGTACAATGAGTCACTTGCAGATTTGAGTAAATCACTAGAAATCGAACCGAATAATGCATTCGCATTAAGAGATTGCGGTGTAACTTACCGCATGATGGGCAAATATAAAGAATCAATTGCAAATTTAAGTAAATCATTAGAAATAGAACCAAATAACACATTTGCATTAAGAAATCGTGGGGTAACTTATCGTATGATGGATATGTGTAAAGAATCGCTTGCAGATTTAACGAAATCGAACCAAATAACACATATGCATTAAATCAACGTGGAGTGACCTATCGTTTAATGAATAGATATAAAGAATCACTTGCAGATTTAGATAAGTCATTAGAAATTAATCCTATTGATAAATTTGCATTAGAAAATCGTGGAGTAACTTATCGCTTGATGAACAGATACAATGAATCACTGTCAGATTTAGATGTTTTATTAGACATTGAACCAAACGATGCAATTGCATTAAGGAATCGTGGTGCAACTTATCGTATGATGTGTAGATATGAAGAATCAATTGTAGATTTAAATAAATCATTAGAAATCGAACCACGTAATACATTTGCATTAAATCAACGTGGAATAGCCTATCGCATGATAAACAGACGTGAAGAATCACTTGCAGATTTAAATAAATCAATAGAAATCGAACCTGGTGATGCATCTACATTAAGAAACCGTGGAGTAACTTATCGTTTAATGAACAGATATGAAGAGTCGATTGCAGATTTAAGCAAATCACTAGAACTTGAACCTAATAATACGTTTGCGTTAGGAAATCGCGGAGTAACATACCGAATGATGAATAGGTATGATAAATCGCTTACGGACCTAAATACATTATTGGAAATTGAACCGAATGATGCATTTGCGTTAAGAAATCGTGGAGAAACTTACTGCTTAATGGGCAGATATAAAGAATCACTTGCAGATTTAAATAAATCATTAAAAATTGAACCTAAAAACTCATATGCACTGCGTCAACTTAAAATAACTCATAGTAAGATGAGTCA